GGGTGCACCCGAGGTCCAGATGCTGTGGCCTGGCCCCAGTGCCATCGCGGTGTCCCCAGCCGGTGCATGGCTGTGTGTGCATGGTGACACACGTGTCCTTGCAGTGATGCATGGCCCTGGCGTGTCCCTATCCAGTGCATGGCTGCATGTGCACGGACACATGTGTGTCCCCAGCGTGTCCCTGCAGCAGTGCATGTCCCTGGCGTGTCCCTATCCAGTGCATGGCTGTGTGTGCATGGTCACACACGTGTCCTTGCAGTGATGCATGGCCCTGGTGTGTCCCTATCTCATGCATGGCTGAGCGTGCACAGCCACACGCGTGTCCCCAGTGTGTCCCTGCAGCTGTGCATGTCCCTGGCGTGTCCCTATCCAGTGCACGGCTGCATGTGCATGGTGACATGCGTATCCCCAGCATGTCCCTGCAGCTGTACATGTCCCTGGTGCATCCCTATCCAGTGCATGGCTGCATGTGCACAGCCACATGTGTGTCCCCAGTGTGTCCCTGTGCATGTCCCTGGCGCGTCCCTATCCAGTGCATGGTCACACACGTGTCCTTGCAGCCCTGGTGTGTCCCTGTCTCATGCATGGCTGAGTGTGCATGGCCACACGCGTGTCCCCAGCGTGTCCCTGCATCTGTGCATGACCCCAGCATGTCCCTATCCAGTGCGTGCCTGCATGTGTACGGCCACACACGTGTCCCCAGGGTGTCCCTGCAGCCGTGCATGACTCCAGCATGTCCCTATCCAGTGTGCGGCTGCATGTGCATGGCCACACACGTGTCCCTGCATCTGTGCATGACCCCAGCATGTCCCTATCCAGTGCATGGCTGCATGTGCACGGTCACATGCGTGTCTCCTGCGTGTCCCTGCAGTGGTGCATGACTCCAGCATGTCCCTATCCCGTGCATGGCTGCATGTGCACAGCCACACGCGTGTCCCCAGTGTGTCCCTGCAGCTGTGCATGACCCCAGCATGTCCCTATCCAGTGTGTGCCTGCATGTGCATGGCCACATCTGTGTCCCTGCAGCTGTGCATGTCCCTGGCACATCCCTATCCCGTGCATGGCTGCATGTGCACAGCCACACGCGTGTCCCCAGTGTGTCCCTGCAGCTGTGCATGACCCCAGCATGTCCCTATCCAGTGTGTGCCTGCATGTG